AGGATTAAATGTGAAAAGGGTAGGCAGTGCCTGGGACAGAACTAAATATGCTGAAGATGCTCACTGTGTGCTGAAGTCCCTGCTGATAAAGGAACGCTTGATTCTCACTGGGCCCCAGCTTGATTCTCACTGGGCCCTGTGGGCCAACCACTGCGCACAGCCTTTGACATTTTATACATAAATGCACTAGATCACACTGGTAACTCCATCAAACAGATACTATTATTATTCTCATTTATAGACAGGGAAACTGAAGCTCAAATAGGTTCAGTGACTTGCCCAACAGCAAGCGCCATGTGCTCCTCACTGCCACTGCATTTTGCCACCATCTGGCAAGTGCTTCCTATGTACCAGGTACCACGCTCGTGAGTGCTGGACAGGGAGCTGGGCTCTGACCCCTCAAGGGTGGTGGTCACTCCTGGGGGAAGGACGAGAAGTGCCCATGGGCTAAGGGTCAGCCCTGGAGAGCCCTTATGGCTCCAGAGGCTCAACCATCAGGTGGCAGTAGGACATGGGACATCTCTAAGAGCTGGCTAGTGGTTGGGCTGGTACCTGGGTCTTCATCTGTCTGTCCTGATAGTGGAGGCTGAGTTGGGATCTTCCTGCTTTATTTCCTGCCATCCCTACCAGGGGAATGGGATCTGGTGAGAGATACCCCTCTTTGTCTCTGATCTAGGCCTAGCTTGTTCACCTCTGCTGTTCTTGCCTGGGCTGCAAAATCTGTGTCACTACCCCCACCACCCCAGAAGGCCCAGCCCCACTGCCACTGGTCTCCAGGCATCACAGGAACCACAGTCCTATTGGGGAGCGGCCCCTCTGAGCTCTCAATCCAGGGGTGGGGGGTTGTTCAGCCAATGAGTGCCTCAGGTCTGGAGCGTTCAGCCACCTTCAGGTTCCCAGATCCTCACATTCATTTCTGGGGTCCTCTCAGGACCTCACTGTAATGGAGAAAAATCTAAGCAGAGAGCCCCCAACCCCTGTGCTTCTGCTGACTCAGAGAGCACATCTCCATGCGCAAACGGAGTTGGCCATGGGCTTTGCCCCACCTGAGCGTCCGTCTGCGTGAGCTGGGTCTGCCACACATAACTCTTGGGACAATACTGAAGATGCTGATTTTGATCAGCGCTGAGGGGCAGCAGGGCCTCGACCACCACCACAGCTAGCGGCAGGCAGAAGCCAAACTTCCAGCTGGACAGAGGTGATGATGGCAGGGAACATCTGGATCAGGCACCAAAAGGGGCAAGGAGAGGTCATTGGAACCCAAGTGCTTGGCACTGAAGAGCTTCCCATGGCCTGGCCGCACTGACATGCACCCTGTGTCCAGAGCCTCCCTCCCTTGGAGAAGAATGCCCACAGCTGGTATCAGCGGGCAGTGGGCACTGGAATATGTCTTCTTTGGGGGGCTGAGTGTGTTTCCATGTTGATTCCTCTCTACATTCAGGGTTTTACAAGTCTCTAGCCTTCTTGGGGTGGGGCAAAGGAAGGCGTTTGTGTCCGTGGGTCCTGGACAGGTCAGGCTGATGTCTCCCCTGTCCTCCACAGGGTTCAGAGAAGGAGCACACACTGGGCTGTCCTCTACAAGGAGGCAGCTGACAAATGGGACCCAAGAGCAGCGCAAACAGGAGGGACCTGGCGAAGGGTGGGGCATGAAGGGCACGGCCCAATCGGACCCCTGGTCACTGGCTGCGCCCATGAGGCTAGCTCTCCCTGACTTTTGAAATAGGGAATATGGAGAGGAGTGGCTTGTTGGTAGCAAGAGGACAGCAGAGTAAAAATCAGAGATAAGAAGGAGGAGAAGATTCTGCTTCCTTGAGGGTGGGTACAGGTGGTCTCTACAATTTCCGCTCCATATTTAAGAAAGAGTATTATAAGAGGGGGCCAGTAGGGCCCTCAAGGGCTAGCATGGAAGTAGGAATAGAGATTCTAGCATGGGAAGCTGGGGCTGAGGCTCGTCAGTTAGACCTGAATGTCAGACCAGAATTCACAGCAACTCGGCCATCTTTTTGCTCATCCTCCTCAGCTGATGTGTGGTAGGTCTGTTCAGGGAAGGTGGTGTGTCGAACCCTGGGGACCTGAGTCACCCCCACAGGACGAGCTGAGGGCCTGAAGTCGTAGCTGGGGGTGGGGGGTGGGAGAGTCATGGGAGGAGACCAGAGCTTTTCTGGTGGAAACCAAAGGCACCTAAGTCTGCCAGGTGTTGTAACCAGAAAGATCAGGATGGACACCTGAAGAGGGCACTTCAGTCACCAGGACCTGGGTCTGTGCAGGAGAGATTAGGCTCTCCCACCTGGCCCCCTGAGGTTGGGCTGGGCTGGGGGTGGGGGCTCTAGATTGTGAGATTGGGACCTAACATCTGAGGACCCATCTTGGATGCTGAGCCATCCTTCCACCTGAGCTCAGTTTGGTGCTTGGGGTACCTGGCCTGGCAGGGAGGGAGTGGACAGGGCGGAGTGGCTCAGTGGTGGCTTCCCCCAGGATAAGAGCCTTCTCCAGACAGGCCTGGCAGGCTGCAGGTGTCTGCTGGCTCCTGGCACCTATGCCAGGCTCCCTGATTGTTTAGCTCAGTGAAACTACTTTGGTTTCTGCCCTCGGAGGGAGAGGAAGGAAGGGGAGAGGGGCTGGCCTTGGCTCACTTGGGCTCACTTGGCTCAGCCGCCAAGCTGCTCACAGAAGGTCCCACCCATGACCTGATCAGAGCCCTGGAGCTGTGGGGATTGCCAGGTGAGGACCAGTGCCTTTCTCCAAGGAGTCCCCAAGGCTGGTCCTTGGACACAGTAGACCTGGGGACAGTTCTCCCACAGCCCCTGGCAGATGGGCTGGCTGCTGAGGCCATTTGACCCTTTAGACCCAGATGTGGCCAGACTTGGCAATGCTCCAAGGAAGAGCCTGCTTTCTAAAGCCAGCTCCAAGGGCTGGGGCAGCGTACCAGTCTAGCTGTCCATTCACCCTGGCTTCCAACTTTCAAGGGCCCCCTAAACCTTCCAGAGTCTCTTCTAGCAACAGCCCCAGGCCCAACTCGAGTTTTCCCCTAAGAGAGGGGTTGTAGGCCAGTCACAGAGTGCCAGGCCAGTACCACTGGCTTAGGGCCATGGTCTGTGGTCCCAACACAACCAGCGCTCTCTTTCCTGGAGATCCCAGCCTGCCAAGAGAGGAGAGTCCAGGCTGGGGGCTAGCAGTGGAGGAGCAGAAGCAAAGGAAAGTGAACAAAGCCCCCTCAAACCACAAGCCCCAGTGCCCCAGCTCCTGGCCATCTAAGGGGCTAATTCATAATGCATGGCCACCAAATTCCAGTACGGTCTATAATTGCTTCCTGTATGGACACATCATCCCTAAATAAGTTATAAAGAGCTCAGGGATGGGTCTGTGAATTGAAATCCCTTGATACTCTACTCCACAGTATGGCAGGTGGGCCCACACAGCCCTTTCTGCCCAGCACCTGGGTCACAGGCTGAAGGTAATTTCCATCAGCAGTAACCCGTTAAAAAAACGTTGCTGTTAGTGTCTGGACTCATAGTGACCCTATAGGACAGACTAGAACTGCCCCATAGGGTCTCCAAGGAGCGGCTGGTGGATTCGAAGTGCCGACCTTTTGGTTAGCAGCTGAGCTTTTAAACACTGCACCACCAGGGCTCCCCATCAGCAGCAGCCCCTTATAAATGCCTTCCCCCGTGGGGTGGGAGGGATGGGCTGGGTTCCCAGCCAGGCTCCCCCACCAGGGCCTGGCATGGCCACAGAGTGAGAACAGAGCAGGTGGGGAACAGGCTGGGAGGTGTAACTCGAGCCTGAGAGGATTTCCCTGCCCTTCCTCCAGGCTTTTATTAAAGTAGGGCGGGGAAGGGCAGGCTTCCATCGGAAAAATCTCCCAGGCAGCCCAGGGAGGTGGGGAAGCCGCCGGGGGCTGGGAGGGAGCACCGGCCGCGCTGCAAATAGAAAACGCGCTCAGGCTGGCAGCCGGGGAGGCCGAAGCTCCAGGCCGGCCCAAGGGCACCGAGGCCCGAGGAATGCCGGACGCGCGGCTCGGTAGTCCCGGAGCAGAGGGAGCATTAGGGCGCGTCTCTTGCCCTCCTTCCCGACCAGTCCTCTCCTGCCCTGTTCCAGGCAGGAAGGAGTGTCTTGGAAGTCAGGGAGAAAATGGACCCTGCTTTTGCTCTGGGGTAGTGAGCTGGATCCCTCACTGTCCCCGCTTAGGAGGACGCAGCTGGGTGACCCCATGGGGCGGGGGCGTTGGCCAGACCCAGTTCTGCGCCAGGAAGTCGCGCCTGGTCACCCGCGAGCCCGATTCAGACAGGGGACCTCTGGGGACTTCAGGAGGGCTCCCTGCTAAAAGACAAATGGAATGCGCCCTCTCCAACCTGGGCTTCGGCATAGGGGCGCTGGGTGGGAGGAAGCGCTGCGGGAGACAGGGTCTCTCCCTTTGACCCACCCGGCGTGGCGCGGCTTCCGCCCAAGAGCCCAAGTAAGTAGCCAAAGCACCACTGTACCTGTAGTCTGCTGCCTTGGCGGTTCGCACTCCCTCCCCCAATCCTGGGCCGCCGTGCGCGGCTCGGTGTCACCCAGACCATAGGTTCCTAGGCGAGAGCGCTACCGCTACCCTGCTCCTCCCGCGCCCCCCTGAAGCAGCCCCCTTCCCCACTTGTAAAGAATGCCACTGCGCGCCTGCAGGGCTCTCTAGGAATCAGTAGCCAGGAGGAAAGGAAGGAGGGGAAGCAAGGACTGGGGGCGGCGGGAGCCGCTCTCGCGACAAGGGCCGGGGCGGGTCAGTGCCCAGGGCAGAGCTGTAGGAGCAGAGAGCCGGCGCTAGCCCTATGCCCTCAAGGGTTTGGAAAGAGGTGCGTCGCAAAGGGCGAGCCGGGGAGGAGCAGCCGGCCTGGTCCCCCTTTCCTCCCCCCCCTTCGGGCGGGGGGCTCCTCTCCCGCCACTTCCACGCCCCAGGCTGCGGGCGTGCACCTTCCCCCCCACTCCCGGAGTCCGCGGCCAAGGGGCAAGGCGGAGGTCCTTACCTCTGCGTTGACTTCTGCGTCCTCCGCCGCTGCGTCGCGGCCCAGGCAACCCAGAAGCACCAGCAGCAGCGGCAGCAGTGGAGGCACCTCCCAGCCACCGAGGAGGCTCGCCGCCCAGCCTGGCCGCCTGGGCGCGCTCCGGTCGCTGCCCATGTTCTCGGCGCGCGGCCCGGGCCGGAGCGCTGCACGCGGGGCTCGCTCCCTCGCAGGCGCCGGGGCCCCGCGCGCGGCTCGGAAACTTACGACGCTCCCTGGCTCCCGGCCCCGCGGGCGCGCGGCGGACCTCCCGCTCCCCGTCCCCGCGGAGCAGCTTAGGCCCCCTCGGCAAATTCCCAAGTCCGGGGAGAAGCGGGCAGGCCGGTCGGGGAGCGCGGAGCGGGCCCGCGGGGAAGGGGGCCGGCCAGAGCCGCCCACCGCGGGGTTCCGCTGCCTTGGCGCCTGAAGCTCGGGGCTCGGCTCCCGAGAGCGAGCGCAACTCCAGAGCCTTTGTTTGGTTCAGCGCTCCGGCCGCCCGGTCCCGCGGCGCCCCCTGCGCGCCCAGCTCCCTCTGTCCATGCCCAGGGCCGGGCGCTGCCCGAAGCGCCCGCCTCCTGCCAGAGGATTCTGCTTGCCGTCGCGCCCGACCGGGCCGGGGTCCCCGCGCAGTCCGGGGAGGAGGTGCAGAGAGCTGGCCGGAGCGAGCGAGCGAGCCAGGGAGCCGGCGCCCGACGTCCCCGGCGAGTTCGGCGCGGCTCGAGGCGCTCCCAGCCCTCCTCCCAGCGCGCCGCAGCAGCCGCCGCTCTTAAAGGGCCAGTGCGCTCCCTGCGTGCTGACCCAGGCGGGGGCCGGGGGCTGGGGGCGGTCCCCCAGCCCAAGACTTCCCGGTAGCAGGTGCCAGTGGGGAAGCTCCGGCAGGCGGCCCTGACGGCGGAAAACTTCCCAGTGCGACCCAGTCACCCCATCCCTGCTTCTGGGGGACGGGGGGAGGGTTGACCTCCAACACGACACCCCGTGGAGGGAGGGCGCGAGGAAGGCGTGGTCTCTCTGTCGGAAAGGAATGAAGACTCCTTCTCCCACCTGGTGAAGGGATACTGAGGCAGCGGTGGGTAGGGAGGGGGGACCCAAGTGTCTTCAGTTAAAAAAAAATAAACAAAAATCTAGAAAAGTGTTGGTCCGAGGCTTCTTTTCAAAAGCGTAGAATGTCTTTGGCCCTTTTGCGGCGCCCAGAGCGCAAGTTCAGGAGGTACTCTAGAGTTCTGCGTCTGCCACTTACTTGCGGCGTGGACATGGGCAAGTTCCATGATATTTCTAAGCCTCCATTTGCTTATCTGGAAAGTGGGGCAGAGGGCTGGGTTGAGAGTTAGGCAAGGCTTCCGGCTCCCAGCCTGGCACACAAGCAGGTGCCCAACCAGAGGCCACACATTGGCTACTATTTTGTGTAAGTGAAATGCAACAGTGCGGCCCGGCAAGGCGCAGGGCGCGCAGGTAGAGCTGACCGCCGAACTTAGTGTGCTAGATTTAATTCTGTTCTGGGAACAGTTTGAGAATCTGGTCGGTGTGGCTACCAGAGGCCCGACCTGGGGGCTCCGGAGGTGGCGGCCTGGGTCGAAGGTTAGCGTAGGTTAGGCGGCCAGCCCAAGGGCGGTCCTGGCGCTGCGGCTGGCCTGGCGGGGGAAGAAGAGCTGCGACTTTCT